CAGTCTCTCATGCCTCACGTTGGCGCCCTTTGCCGAAGACAACATGTGTATCTCTGGTCCCCATCTTCCGTCCTGATGATGGTGCCTATCCGTTTGTAGGCAACACGATCCCACTATTCTGCTCATCTTTTATGGCGTATAGCGCTCAGTCGATACGGCGTATACTGCTGTCTGCTTTTTTTGTCACCGCAGCGCGTTGGGGGTCGTTATTTCGTTGTTTCGACCGTGTTTGTTCCGCCGGGCTCCTGATGTTGCGGCCGGGCATGAGTGCCTGTTGTACGCGTTCTTAAATGCCTGTCACGCCGTACTAAAGCTTCAACCGATCGCCGAACCGGTTTCCATGTGTTGACGTTTCGAGTGCAGCTCAAGAAGGAGGCGGCAGCCCGCAAGAAGGGGGTGGAGTGGAAGGATGACGGCGACGACATCGACGACGGCAGCATCGAGTGGACAGAGAGGGGAATGGACGACTACGTTCCAGGATCCGATGCGTACGATCGGCGCCACAAGAAAGCCGGGTGCCCTCACGTCTGTTCGTTGTCGGCTTTGGCTCGCAAACGGTTGCCGAGCTTAGACGAGTTCAGGGAGAAGCTTGATCCGGCCACCGGACAGTACGCGATTGGCTCGCCAAAGTTGGACCTGGACACGGGGGAGTATGTGCCCTCGGTGATGGACACCTGCTACGACATGAACTTCCCTGCGGAGGCCGTGAACCTCTTCGTAGACAAGGTACAATATATATTTATATTCTTTGCCTCCTTCCGTATCGCGCTAATTCAATAACGATGTGAAGCGGGCACTCTTTGACGTATACCCCGGAGTATGTCGTGTGTTTGAGGTTGTTGTTCTGCCGTGCAACGATGTGGGTGTGAGGGGACTGGTTTCAGTTGTCTTGTTCCCAGAGTGTAGAAATATCTTGTGCAAACTTGTGTTGGGCGCGCACATCAGGGTGTCGCTGGCTCGAGGTGTCTGCTGCGTACGAACGTGTAGTTGATTCTCGCAAAACGCTGCCGTACCCTTTGAAAGTGTGGCGTACGTCTCCGCCGCCAAACTTGAACCACAAATATCGCAGCTCCCAAAACCCCGGCAGGATGCGTCTTGTTTGGAGTTTTGGATGCCGCGTTGTACAAGACATTTCTCAGCCCTTTACTTTGCATTGATTAACCTAAGGTTTTTCTTGGCCGGCCCTCGTACGTTTTTGTCTGCGAAGACAAACGCTTACGTCCAGCACTGCTGCACGGAGCCGCCGCCGGGAGAAGCAGATACGCGGAAGGAGCACCAGAAGGCCAAGTCGGAAAAAGACAGGTTTCAAGACGCTGAACGTCCCGGTACCTGGTGAGGAGGGGCCGTTCAGTCGGAATCACATCCACGGCATGGTCGGGATCTTCATAACCATGGGGCTGACGAGAAAAGTTCGGATGCGAAAGCATTGGAGTGGGTCTATACACGACAACTACCCCTTGGTGCGGGATTGCATGCAGCGCGATTTGTTCGAGGCGCTGTATTGTCGGTTCCTGCACTGCTCGGACCCGAACGCCCCTCCGCGCCTACTACCGAACGGAGAGGACAACCCGGAGTACGACTCGAAGTGGCATATCAGGTGTCTGTCATAGTTTTCCCGATGCATTTGTCCCAAGATTCCGCCTGTTCATGTTGGCGACTGTTTTTTTTTTTATGATGTTTTATTTTTTCCTGTGATGGGGGCAACGGCATCGTACGCGCGAAAGACCCCGCCGAACGCCCATTTTTTTGTGGCGATTCTTTGGTCGTTGGTTTTCGGTCGCGACTAGCCACATGAACGGCACGCAT